AGGAGAAAGGTAGTAGGCACTCTCCTGGAACACAAGAAGCTGGATATCAGCTTGAGTAATTTTCTCAGGAAATGGCCGTAGTGCATGCGTAAATGCAGTCCTGACTTCCAAAGTCAAGCTCTGCCCCTTGCCTAGCTCCTTCAGTAGGGTGACAGAATACCAAGTCAATGACGGAGGCAAGCCTTCAGGGTTAACAACTTTAATAGGTAGACTACTGGAAGAAGTTTTAGTTTTCCCTTTCCCTTCACTGGTTGTTGCCACTAAAAATGCTAAATCTTTTGCCTGGTGATCAGGGAATGGTAACAAAACCTCCGAAATTTGATCGTTACCAGGATTCTCTAGCTGAACAAACAAATAAGAAATAAGACAAGCATCACTATAGACCATCAGATATTGAAAATTCCCAAATATATAACACCCTTAAATCTATTAATTAGGGTTTGAAGTATTTAACATTTTTAACAAACTTATCCCAGAACCTGAAAAGGCCCAAGCAATAACCACTAACCTTCAAAGTTGCAGTTATGCGTACTACTTGAGAAGTCAGGTCAACCTGCAATTCAAGATACATGAAGCCAGAAGTGAGCATTATTGAATAAATAATTTTAGTTCAGATCCAAGAGCTTAATTAAAGCTCAGGTTTTCTCTTTAAAATGGCATCAAGATATGAAATGATAGGTAAAACCAAGTGATGACCCCGACAATCAAAGATAATATCATTCCAAGCTGCATTTGACCATTACATTTTAAGAAGATAATTACACAAAAAAGCTGGGTATAAGATTATCATTACTCATATATAACCGGACATTCTATGCCACATTTTTGCACTGAGCTTGAGAACAAACAAAAATCAAACAAAAAGAAACAGGGGTCAAATGATAGTAAGTTTGCCAATCCCCAAAAAAACTCTTTTTTGAATCTTTCAGCTCCCTTGATACCAATGTAACTTAAGCAAAAGTATATAGCAAGGACAACAACTACTAAGCCTTGATTCTAAACAACATTGAGGTTAGCTATATGAATCCTCTGCAACCATTTCGCCTTTTTATTGCCTAGTTCATTCCAATACTACTTTGCAAACAAAATTAGTTAGCAAATTATAAAATTTTCCTAGAAAATTAAATCCGATAACTGGATCTTACTCCTAAACCCTAATTAACCTTAACAAAAGCACAGTAATAGATCAACAATTCAACATTAACATGAAGGAAGAAAAGTAGATTGAACAACAATCAGAGACGTACCTTTCGATCAAGTTTGGAGATGAGTAGATCGGAAAGTACAGGCGACCATTGGGCGAATAACACGAAAAATGAAAACAATAAATAGAGACGAAACGTCGTCGTCGTCATTTTCGGATCCTTTTATGCTAATTTGGCTGATGCCCCAAACACTATCAGATCGGAGAAGGGTCAGTCGGAGAAGGAGACCATCGCCGGAGTTGAGCTCTCTACTGACTGAGAGTCTGAGACTGATCTTTCAATGTGAAATTATACAGAGTCCCCGACCTTAAGGGTTAATTTTTCTTCTTTTTTTTTTTAATGCAGGGAAAATATATAGCACCTTGCTTAATTTTAAAATTCTGCAATTTCAAAAAGAAAAAAGAAAATATTTTGCAGCACCTCGGATTAAATATATGCGAGATACGGTAAAAATTGCACGGCGCCCTACTTGGTCGGCCACATGTAATCGTTTTTAATTTTTTTAACTTGTACCCGATTTGTAAACAACTTAGGGCCTTTTTCTCCTCTTTCTTCTTTTAGTGGCGTGATGTTATGGCTCTTTATTTTTTTACTATTGCTTAAAATTTCTTATTCTTCTTTTTTTTTTTAATTGCAAAATGGGCTCGTTAGATTTATTGTTGTTTCGACGAATTGATGATTGAAGTTTGTTATTGGTGATATTTGGAAGTTATGTTTCAAATTTGAGCTCATTTGGAGTAGATTTAGGTATTAAATCGTATATTGGATTGTTATAATTCGAAGAACAAATTTCTGATTCTGAGCAATTTGTACTTCGAGCATATTCGACCTTACGCGCATGAAAACGTTTGCACTTCAGACCTTTTGGCCTTAAGTGCATCTGAATGGTGGTTTTTCACTTCAGGCATATTGGCTTTAAGTGTAGGGAAACGTTTGTTTCACTTTAGATCTTTTGGCCTTAAATGAATCTGAAGTGCAATTTTTCACTTCAGACTTATTGACCTTAAGTGCATGAAACAATTGGTTACAGTCCAGGCCTATTTGGTCTTAAGTGCATCTGAGTGTAATTTTTCATTTCAGACTTATTGACCTTAAGTGTAGGAAAACGTTTGTTGCTCTATAGTCTTTTTGGCCTTAAGTGCATCTGAAGTGTAATTTTTCACTTCAAATGTATTGGCATTAAGTGCATGAAACCATTGGTTGTACTTCAGACTTATTTGGTCTTAAATGCATCTAAAGTGCAACTTTTTCTCTTCAGATTAAATTTTTTTAACTTCAGACCTGATAAGTTTGAAGTTGATTGTACAGTGGGTAAACTTATAATTTTTATTTGTAAAGTGGGTAGGCTTGTAATTTATTTGCAAAGTGGATATAAGTTCGATTGTGACCCTAAAATCAGGTATAAATGCAAAAGTACCAAAAAAATCTGCACTTTCAAATACAAAAAATGAAAACATAAAAGATGTCTATCATCCATGTAACTTTTAAAATCAGCTGTAAATTTCTCTTCTCGTCTAAATAAGAAGTTAAATATAGCCTAGTCTATGAATAAATTTTATTTGATGCAAATGATCCATATAATCAATTCCAATTAATTTTAAATTAGGGTATAATCAATTAAAAGGTAATTCCTTGACAAAATATTATTATCATGATGCAAGTATCATTGGCTAATTTCATGGTCACATAGAGATAATTATACTTTTCTCCAAAATTCCCCAGTTGAAGAAAGAAAAATTTTCTATCAAAAAATGAGAATAAGGAAAAAGAGAATCCCCTAAAAGATTTCCCTTGAAAATCAAAAATGATTTTTTTTGAAAAAATTGTGATCCAACCTAGTATTTTCATAATAATTTATTGATTTATAAATGATAATTTGTAAATATATAGAGATATCTTCTATTTTTTAACTTTAAACTCCTATGATATTTTATTTATTTATCACAATCGTATGCTTGTAATTCTCATCTTTCAAGGAATAAGGCTTTAAGTCCCTCCTACATTGTACAGTTTGTTTTAATTTTAATAAAATCTTATGCCTGTAGCGGTTTTGTCTTTTTTTATTTTATATTCTGTATGAAAATTGACCTTTTTAAGGAGAAAAAACGGAGGAAGAAAAACATTTGTATTTCTCTTAAGTTTCTTGGTATAGCAACAAATAATAGAAAAGAGAAGAAATATTATTTGCCACTTCTTACTTTTGAGAGAATAGATAAATAAATAAATAAATCCCTTATTCTTATTTCCACTCTCCCGACAGCCCATGATTTCTCTTGATCAAGTTAGACTAAGGTCTCTCTATAGGGATGACAATGGGACGGGGCGGGTGCGGGACGGGGCGAGTTTTCTTTGATGCGAGGCGGGGTGGGTTTGTTTTTATGCGAGTG